AGCAAGCAAGGAGATCATCGTGGATATCGTCGGGGGTGATCCCTACTAGGTATGTGAGTTCATAGTGTTGGGTTGATCCTTTCCCCCACACACCAAACTCATTTTTATTATAAAGAAAAGATTGGATATGTTGTTGAAGTTGTTTGGTTGTGTTGTTGATGTTGTTGATTGTATTGTTGAAGTCCCTTGTTGATTTGGGCATGTTTCCGGTTGTGTTTTGGGTTGAAATCTATTGTATGTTGAGGGATTTATGATTCTAAATGTTTGGGGTTAGAAACCTTGAAGTTAAGGAGGTTTAGAGTTGGAAAAATGAAGGAGAAGAGTCAGATTTTTGGGAGAAAAGGCTGGGGCGTCGCGCCAGCCAGCGCGCCCCAGCTGGGGTTCTGATGTTTTACCCCTGGCGTGGCACGTCTCTCAGAGCGCCAGCAGGCCTCCTCTGAAGTTTTAGGGCTGGCGCCCCACGCCTCTCAGAGCGCCAAGAATGCCAACCTTTCCCATTCATTCCCCACTTTCTCATGCATGTTCCATGGTATTGTACCTATGTTTCATAGTTGTTTCCGACACTCCAAAGTACATCTAAACATCAAGAATCCCTCCATAACATGTGATCAAACACCGTGAATTCATAATTCCAATTCAAGGAAAGTTAGATTCCAAGTCAAGTGAAGTTAGTTTCCAAGTCAAGTGAAGTCAATCTTAGAAGTAAGTAAGTCAAAGCAAGTCTTTAAGGTTTTCCAAGAGTCTTCATTGAACATTTTAACTTCATTCTAAGGCTCAAGTTCCAAGTTAAGTATAGAGTGAACGTTTTTACTTCATTCTAAGGCTCAAGTTGCAAGTCAAGTAAAGAGTAAAGAGTCAAGAGTTTCTAGTTGAGTTCATTTCTCAAAGTTATTAGGGAACTATGTATTTCCAAAGAGGTTTTAAAGAAATGTTTTCACATTTAAAACAAGATTGGAAACTGAGATTTCCAAAGAGCTTTCGGGCTAGTTTTTTCAGAAAAGAGTTATCGCTTTCTAAATGAAGCAAGAAAGGAAACTGAGATTTCCAAGATAGTCTTTGAGCTAAGTTTTTGAGTAATTATCTCATATCAGTAGGAAGACATATGTTTTAAAAACATAAGAGCCACTACATTTTTGGGAGTAGTATCGAGCACCGAGTTGGGGAGCGTTCAAAGAACCCACAGCCCCCATAGAACCATGTTAGCCACCATGGGTAGAAAAGGATCATACTTTTAGATGAATCCTTTTCCAGATAGACTAGTGGATCCATTAGGCAGTTCAGGTCCTATACCTTTGGCTGGGAATAGGATGCTCTGGCAGCGTGAGGTCGATCGCTATATCATCACTATAGCTCTTATGTGATGGTTGTTAGTTAGAGAAACTCCCACAGTAGTTATTGTATTTTCATCCACAGCAGTTATTGTATTTTCATACACAACATTTATTGTATTTTCATACACAGCAGTTATTGTATTTTCATACACAGAAAGTATTGTATTTTTATATACATCAGTTCATTTGTATTTCTATATACATCTCAGGCTTATTGTATCTTTGTATACACACAGAGTTTATAACATGTTTTAAGCAGTCTTTCTTTATATCACACTTATTTTAAATTGCCTTATATTGAAAGAAGTCAGTCAAGTTGAGTTGAGTTGAGCCAAGTAAGCCTTTCAGTGTCTTCCAGATCTCCTGCTAGCCTATGTTGCTTAGTTCCAGCTCGCATACTCGTACATTCCATGTACTGATGCCAGTTGGCCTGCATCTTATTATGATGCAGACACAGGTACCCAGG